AAAAATTATAACTATTAATTAGATTTTACAAATTTTTCATTAGAGACAACTAAAAATTTTATTTTTTGATGTATCTACATTTTTGCACCGGACCATATCTGACAATTTTTTTTCGTTAAAAGCATAGCTAGTTCACTCGAGCAGAAAAAACTGAGCTTACTCGCTTGTATTCTGCGGTTGTTTTCATATAATTTGAAAATCACAACCCCTGCGCAAGCTTCTGCTAGGTATTAAGTTGAAGGTCGGGAAAAGACTGAGCTCATTCATGTGGATATGCAGGGATGCTATTACCTTTCATTGGGAGTCCTTTGCGAATGACTGCGCTCGACCAGATAAATACGCTTCAACGCTTGCTATGCTTTTTCCTTTGCTATACTTTCAATTTCACAGGGAGTATTTTTCATTTATTACTCTTTCAACAAAGTAACATTTGTCTCACTTTTTGCCAATCAAAATTATCTAGTGCTATTGTGAAACTTTATTAATTTTCAGAAATATTAGCGAAGTTACAAAGTGGAAAATGGTAGAATAGCAAGAGAAATGTATGATGCCATCAAAGAGGGAGGGAGTACGCGGATCCTAGGCCATTTAATGCGAGTCCCAGCATCAAGTTATTTCTTTGCTCTCTCACATTTTCGAAAATTATCTTTAGCTAATTGTCTATTGCTTACTACATACTCTTTCTCTACCAGAAATAAATTATCCCACCAATAACTACAAAATTTTAGTCTATCTATATCTCTCACATCCACAATATAAAATAATATTTCCCGCAAGAAAACTTCTTTGAGATTAAGTGATTTCAAACCTACAACATAAAAAATTTGGGCGATTAGCAACTGAGGTAAAAAAAAATAATCAATGCAATATTTCCTTTCATAATGTCATGTTTCAAGAAGCTAGTTGAGCAATAAATCAACATACCTTATTATTACTTTGCGGATTATACGAGTTCGTTTGATCAAGGATATTAACGATGTAGATATTGGTAAGTTTGATTAGTTTGAATATTTCGCTTGATTTTTTGTTATACTTATACAAGGCGGATAAAAAGATTCACTAACTAGGCCTTACCTTTTTATATATTTCGCAGTGGGTCTAAGATCTTTGGGGGAAATTTTCGTTAATACGACAAATCCATTCTAGCATCATGATCAGGGACACTCGCAAATCATTAGTTCATGAAAAGCTGTGAGATAAATTATTTACTAGAACTTTCGGGAAAAAAATGTATAATGATACATGGTTTGTTAATAGAACATTAGATCGATACAAAGGAGTAACCAATTTTTAAATAAATGGGACAATACCCGTATAATGTATTATACTAATGACTGCGGACTTTATTTTTTCGTGCAATTCTAACATGCTTACTCGAAGAAATTATAACACTTTGGTTTTAAAAAATTGTGTATGTAAATCTTGCGTCGCACAGCCCAGGCAAGAATTTCAACTGCGCATCGATTTCACATGACCGGTCTATGCTAAGACAATATTCTGTTCCATTTTTATACCATTCGCCATGTAATCCATAATTCCCATGTTTTCCATCACAAATAGGGCATGGTGAGCTCCACGGTTGAGGTGATGCAAAATTATAATTATCGATCCCTCTGAAAGTTATTTCGGAATTTCAGGTATGTTAAATGCTCCAACACGGAGCTGATAATTAATTCTGATCAGGTTTGGTTTCGAAAGTGATAGGCTTGAAATCAGAGGCTTGAGGTTTTTCTGATATACTACTTATCACAGCTTTTGATAATTGCCATGGTTCATGTCCAGTTTCTTTCTTATATTTTTTGTATAAGTTGGAACGAATCTTATCTGTCAAATTGCTTGGTAACCCAGTTAATTTTGCATGCCAATCCAGGTATTCGGGAGTTAATATTTTATCGGTCTTGGACAGTAAAAAATTAATGAATTTTATATATAATTAGAACATATCACTCAAAAAAATATATGTAAAATGGAAAACTCTATTATTAAAACAAATACTTAATATAAAATCATTATGTTTTATTACTCTTACTTTTGATTGTCACTGCATATATTTAATAAATTTTAACGTGAATAATGGATGATACTTAATACTTTTTTTAATTATAATTTATATATAAGATTTTTTTCTTTTTAGATATATATTTTTAAATATTATCAATAAAGCTTGATATTTTTAAAGAATTGAAATATGTGATAATAATTTATTATAGGTCAAAGACTTTCTCAAGATCTGATTTCAATTCACGTTTCAAATCTTTATAAAAAATAATCAACATGAACTTTAGATAATTGACGCGTAAAAATTATCCTATATGACAAAGAAAAGATCCGCCAAAGTGATCATATGTCAAGAATCAAAAAACAATCATCTCTGGTCTGGACCATAGATTTCCATTATATGTAGATATATAGTAGTTAGTTGGTAAATCCTGATAATTACTCTTGCAGACAAATAAACAATCAATCAATGGGAACATTAACTTTATTCACTATGGGACAAACCACTGATGATTTTTTCGTGAATGATTATATAAATATACTTACGGTATTTTATCACTTGCTCACTCTTTTAATCTTCTATTTCTTTACGGTATCAACATTATATAGAATTGATTTTATAATAATCTTTAGCTTTCCTTTTGGTCAATGAATTTTTCATATGCTTCCGCGTCTAATAAATCATTTATCTCGGATGAATTTGACATTTTGATTTTACAGAACCATCCTTGATATATGGAATGAAAAAAATGAACCAGTTATTATTATAAACCATGTCAAAATTCATTAATAAATAAATAATAATAAGTAATAATAGTAATAATAATAATAATAATAATAAAGTCACCCTCATCTTCTGGACTCTCATTGATCAACGACGGCTGATCCTTTAATCTCTCATTCACTAGAACAACATCTCCACTTACAGGCGCGTAAATATCACTGGCAGCTTTAACACTCTCTACAGCGCCAATGGGATCTAATTATAATGTTAAAAAATGATTTGATCAACAAAGAAGAGCATAACAATCCTAATATCCCCCAAATTGGGTGATAGTAGTAACCTAACCTTGCTTCTTGACCTTTTTATTTAACTCTGGAGCTTCAACGAACACAACTTCACCTAGAGAGCTTTGTGCATGGTCTGTTATTCCGATTGTGGCTAAACTCTCTTCCACGTTAACCCATTCATGTTCTTTTGTATACCTTTTAGCTGACAAAAAAAAAAGAATATTCAATCTCTTTGATTTGGCATAGAAAAAAGTATAAAGGAGGTTTAGGACTTACTTGTATAGCTTCGAGTAAAGAGAATACTATTAAGACGTATTATAGCTAATGGTGGTGCTGGACGCAGTAAGTGTGCTGGAGCGTAACGAGAAAAAATCAATCGAGACATTTATCTATTAATCTTTTTTTTTTAAAATTAAAAATTTATATATCGATATATGCTAAAAAGTTTAGCCTGAAAAGATTTAAACTTTGTTTGTTAATTGACACATGTTCTATAACGCGTGAATTAATAATTCTTTCCATTTTTGGGGGTTAAAAATCAATCAAAAAAAAAATAACAGTAGTTGGTAAATTAGTGGTAAATGGTAAAGAGCGGTAATCGTCCGGCCGTACGAAACGGCGCACTCGGAAGAGAATATAAAAGTCGTGCAACAACTCTTTTTCTTCTATACCAAATATATACAAAATATGAATGTTTCACTATGGGTTTTTCCTTTGTACTGTAAATAATATAATTAAATATATATTATAGTGGCAACGATATATTTATTACATATTATTGCTTTACTTTTCCATCTACCACGCTCTGTTTCTCCCTCCTCCCTTTTTATACCTTTTTTTCCTCTTTCTTCCCTCTACTACTACCAACCGTCATAGACTACTTCTATACATACATATATATATTTATATATTATATACTATTGCACGCGTGCCAGTGCATCCAAAAAACCGACTGCCATTAATATTATTATTGTATTATTGTTATTATTGTATTTATTTATTTGAAATAACTATTACGTATTAGTTCCATATCTTTTTGTCCCCTTCTCCTTTACCTCTTTTCTCTGTCTTTCTCTAAATAAATATATATATATATATATATATATATATACATACATATTCTATTCGCCTTCACGACTTTTTCTAGTAAAAAATTTTTGGAGAAAATCAATAAACCATACAAGAGCGTATCAGCATAATAACATATCACAAATAACATGTCGAAAGCGCAATTCCTACGAGAATACAAGTTAGTTGTTGTCGGTGGTGGTGGTACGTCATCTTTACATTTTTTGAGACATTGGGATTAGGGTTAGGGTTAGGGTTAGGGCTCAATATGTGCGTCTAAGAAATTTAAAAGACCTCATTCTCAGGTTTATTATGCACACAAAAAACACGTATAAATAGAGGCATATACACATCGTCTATTTCTTTTAAATTAAATACTAATATTACATATTAAATTCTTTTGAAAGGTGTTGGTAAATCCGCACTCACTATTCAATTTATCCAATCGCATTTCGTTGATGAATATGATCCTACTATTGAAGGTAAAACTTCCATCATTGCACCTACGCATTTACTGAATAAATGCGCAAGCTACGTCTAAAAATTAATTCTCCATAACTATTTTAGATTCTTATCGTAAACAATGTGTTATTGATGAGGAAGTCGCATTATTAGATGTTTTGGATACAGCAGGACAAGAGGAATACAGGTACTTACTCAAACCCATTTTCAATAATAGGCCAAGATAATTATAATCATCATCGTCTTCATCATCATCTATTGTCACCCAAACGAATTAAAGATTTTATGAATATCTAACAAAAAGAGTCTGAAAATTAAAGGATTACTTAAAAAATCATATGATTAATTAAGTTTCTATTTCCTCGTCCTGATTATAATCATCATCACAACAAAGTGCAATGCGCGAACAATACATGCGTACCGGCGAAGGATTCCTACTTGTCTACTCGATCACATCTCGTAATTCATTCGAGGAAATCTCGACCTTTCATCAACAGATTCTTCGAGTAAAGGATAAAGATTATTTCCCGATCATTGTGGTGGCGAATAAATGTGATCTGGATAGTGAACGACAAGTTTCTGGGCATGGTATGTATCTTTCTATCTTATAATTATCTTGAATGGATGAATGATAAAGTTCAAAATATTAGAGAAAATAGCTTGTGAGAATCATAAACGCTTATATCCTAATCATCGGTATAAGCCAAGAAATGCAAAAGATTCAAACATCTTCATTATTTTTATACGTTGTTCTGATACATTTAATTGATTTAAATAAAAAAATAAAAAACAGAGGGACGAGAATTAGCAAAACACTTCAACTGCCGCTTCATTGAAACATCAGCGAAACAACGCATCAATGTCGACGAAGCATTCTACAATCTCGTACGCGAGATTCGAAGATACAACAAAGAACAACAGTATGGGGGACGAAGTCAAACAAACGGAACTAATAACAACGGGGAGTTCACTCCTGAAGATGAGAGTGGCGGGTGCTGTTGTGTGGTCATGTAAAATAGTAAATTTCCGGGTAAAAAAAAATCTTTTTCATAGAGTGAGCAATGTTAGCTATGCTTATTGAAACTTATTTCAAAATTTATATGATGGCAAAACATCAAAAACCTATATATTATTTAAATCAATCCTTAATGATAGCATAATAACATTCATGATATAAATCAAATCATAACCGTTTTCAAATATTTATTTTATTTATTTATTCTTATTTAAACTATATTTTTTATTTATATCGAAATATTTCTTCCTCTTCATTTACATATATTTTTCTTTGAGAGTAATCATTGTTATTTTTATTTTTGTTTTGAAAAGAAAGAAATCTCGAACATCCTCCAAAATTTTTTACACCACTCAAATAATAATCATAATAATAACAATTCACCTTCTTCATTATCGTCATCATCATTTATCCTTCCTCAGGATTTATATCTCAGCATCTATACACACATATTTATCAAGCATCTTGTTTAAAGTAATATATGTACGTATGTAATCTAATTCATGAGAAATAATCAAAAAAAAACTAATTATTATTATTTGTTATTATTATTGTTGTTATTTGCGCTTACCCTATAAAAATTTCTTAAAAAAAATCGCAGATTTAATTTATTTTGCAGATTGATAATTATGTCTACTGCACCGTTGTTATCAATCATCTGGAGAAACATCAGATATTAAAAATACTGATTTATTATATATTTGAAATACCTAATTAGGTATTAAAAATATTGATTTATTATCGTTATATCTAATTAGGAAAATCACCAATAAACAGGTGTACCAATTTTTTCATTGTTATCGTTATGGATTGATTAGTATATCGGAATGTTCATCGAATACCTTAAACCATCGTTCAAATATATTTTCGCAAATCATCCGATGGTTTGCGTCAATTATTAGAGATTACGTATCGGTATGTTTAAAAGAATGCACTGCCGTTTATAATTTTTTTGGCGAACCAATCACATGAAGAATAGTAGATTTTCGAGATAACAAATCGCATGATAAGTTATAACTATAATCCTCGTTATTCTAACCGAAATTTTTTTCTATCACCAGATATTATATGCGAACGATATATTTGACAGATGCAAACTCACACCATGATCTACATTTTACTTTTAACTAAAGACAAAAAATCGAAATATCGAAATATCGTATAAATATGTTTGAACCGAAAAATTTCAATTCAATTCAAAATCAAAAACCAATTCCAAAATTAAAGCAATTCAAAAATCAAAAATCAAGCAGCAAAAAATGTCATCAGGATCATCAGAAACAGTCAACCAGTTTGACGATCATGATAAACGGGGAAACCCGCACCCACTTGGAGTAGCCTCTTTCGCCGTAACTACATTCGTCTTTTCATTTTACAATCTCGGTGTCTGCGGAATCACGCATGACAATGTCGGTCTCGGTCTAGCGTTATTTTACGGTGGATTCACACAATTTATCGCGGGCATGTTGGAAATGTATTTGGGTAACACGATGTCAGCCACGGTGTTTAGTTCATACGGTGCATTCTGGTTGTCGTTCGGCTTGATTTCATTACCCTCTTCGGGAATAAGCGCGGCTTACGCCGATCCTAAAGAATTCGATTATGCGATTGGTATCTTTTTCACTGCTTGGGCAATTTGTAAGTTTTTATTTGCTGATCTATAGGTGTACGTTAATCTCGGTTTGTTGTGCACTCTAACGCTATCGTTAACGTTAAATAAATAGTGACGATAATATTATTAATTGGCGCACTTCGCACAAACAAATGCATGATCAGCGCCCTTTTATTACTATTTACGATTTATGTTAGCCTTTCTCTTGGAAAATTCACCGGACAGCGTGTCTTTATCAAACTTAGTGGAGGCATTGGTGGTAATTATCTCTCTCCCATTATTATAAAAAAGTTCGCAAACTCTAATTTATCTTATTATATTTTAATTAATTATGTAGTTGCATTGGCAATATTGTCGTTTTATATGACGCTTGCGAATATATTGACCAAAAAAAATTCGCATTTCACTCTTCCTCTCGGCCAGAGAAACTTTGATGATGCCAATGCTCATCGGACAATGTCTGTCGAAAATAAAGTATAATTAATCAATAGCGATAGAAGTAAATCACCCTATTAATACACACCCAAAATAGGAATAATTATATTCACAAATCACGTGTATAGAAAATTTATAATAATCATATGGTGCAAACAGACATCAAATATTTAATTAATATTGTAAAATATAAAGGAATTTTATTTTGTATATATAAATATCAAAACAAATATGTTATTAAATAGCCTTTGACATGTTCTATAACATTACGAATTTATTTTGTTTGTTGTTTTATAAAAATTATTCATTTTTTAATGTCAATTTCAAATAGTAATAATAAAATTTTCAGCATCTGATATATCACGTACATTATTTTTGATTGGCTAAACTTCAACATGCAAAATTACATTATTATTTTTTATACAAAATTTATTTTAGCATTGCATAAATTAAATTTAGCATAGCACATGATATCTTATTTGGAAATAATAATTCGATTTTAGCATCTTATTTGGGGGGTTCGTTAAAGCAAGGCAAGCCGTTTAGCTGGTTTAGCCATATTACGCCACATTTGATCAGCGGCACATGATTCACATGATCTTACTATTTGATTGGTAAATTAAAACCCGACCAATAATGGCTGCAAAATCAAAGATAATTTTTTTAAAAAAAATATTCTAACTATATATATGACATGCTAAATTCGATATTATGATCGTGCGAAGAGGGTGGAAGTTGAATAATAGTAATTACGCAATAAAGAGATGATACAGATTACTCAAAGTGATTCTTCACAACTACTTATTAGTGACTTCTTGTTTCAATTTAACAATGTAAAATTTGATTATCAATTCATCGCTAAAATGAGCTCTGAATGTAGTCTCTGTAGTAATTATTGCTTAAAATTTTATTATTTGCTTAAAAATTTTACATAAACATAGAAATTTCATTATATATTAAATATTCTTAAAAGCATGTACAAGCATAAAATAAGAGGAAGAACTAAAATTATTATTTTTTATATTATAATAAAATATTTCTTACTAAAGAACAGGTATCAAAGTCTTTTCTAAATTTTTAACAAACCTCGTCACTTCTTCTATATTGCTCTGATCTGTCAAATGATAATATCAATCTCTTGCTCTTTCAAATAATTTATTCATTATTAAATGATTTTTTTCTATAATCATCTCCATTTCTAATTGAGGTTGGAATATTTTCATCAAACTGTGAGACTGGTATATCTCCAAGCCACTTTTCTCAAAAGTTTCTTGAAAACTTCTCTATGCTTCTGATGTCAGAATATTAGTATCACTACAGAGTTGCACATGAAAAATATGGTGACAGGGCAGGAGATAGTGATTGAAGAATTTATAATCACACTTTGTAACCAAGAGATTTGATGCATCTTTTTCTTCTTGTAATCATTTTGAGACTGCATGTATCTCTTCTGTAATGAGCTTCTGGATTAGAAAGGGGAATTTGTGGATCTTGGCAAGAACTGCTGGATCTACATTAGTAATAGATATTGTTTTTATATGAAAATTGATGATAACTTCTTTTGCCATTATTTTCTTCTTTTCATCAAGTTCCAAGATCATATGGCATGTACCTAAAAATGATAAAAAAGTGAAAATGAATCAAAAATAAAAAAAATAATAAATAGGAAGAGATGGGTAAAGATCAAAGAAATAAAAAAGAAGCAAAGAAGAAAAATAATAAAGAGAGGAGAGAAATGAAAGAGAAGAATCAAAGAAAAAAAAATGAAAAATGAAAAGAATGAATGGTAAGAAGGAGGAAGGGGAAATAAAAGAGGAGAATTAAGGAAAAAAAAAGGAAAATGAAAAGAATAAACAGTAAGAAGGGAGGGGAGGAAATGAAAGAGGAGAATCAAAAAAAAAAGGAAAATAATAAGGAGAAAAAAGAATGAATAGTAAGAAGGAGAGGGAAAAATAAAAAATAAATGATGAGAAGGGGTGAACATAAAGAACAAATGATGAGAAGAGAAGAAAATAAAGAATGAATGATGAAAAGGATGGAAGAAATAAAAAATAAATAATAAAAATAAAAACAAATAATGAGAAGAGAAGAAAATAAAAAACGAATAATAATAATAAAGAATAAACAATAAGCAGAGAAGAAAATAAAGAATGAAGAATGAGAAGAAAAACCAAAAAAAAGCAGAAAAAAAAAGAAATAAAAAATTAACCTACCAATGATGCTATATGTAATAGAAGTTCTTGTTTTGAGTTTGCTATGGTAGGACTCAAGAGAATTCATCAAAATTACTTGAAGAAGAAAAGATGAATGCTATCACATTCAGAATATTTACTTTTTCGAATTCTTCAAGTAATTTTAGGAAATATACTTGGTGTTAACTTGTAAAGGACATGTAATTATCATATCCTGAATAAATACTTCATAGCTGATCTGAGTTTTTTTGTGCATCACTTTAGATCATTTTATTAAGAGTTAGTTTGTGATAGATATTTTTGATCTAGCTTTAAATAATATGAATAATACATAGGAGAATGTTGCATTCTTGCTCTCTTACACAAAAACTAGAAAAGGTAGCCATAATTCTATTAGCTTTCATGCTGCTTTAATCAAGCAATATATATCTTAGTCTCTATCGGAGAGCGAATTTTCAGATTATTTTCAATCTTATCATAATTATGATATTATTCTTATTACTAGTAAAAAAATATGCATCTACATATCAATAATCACAACTATCCTGAATATAAATTATAAACAAGTACCAACCATACTTATTGATATTATAAGTAAAATCAATCAATAATAATCATCCATAGTATGTTGATTCTCCAATTATATTGTAACCAATTAGCTTATTCGTGTGGTGCAGTAGACGTGGCGCAGCATATGGCGCAGCCGCAGCACGTGGCGCAGTAATCGCCAATCACTACTAAATCAGGCGAATAAGTAATTTATATTAATTAGTCTTATTTATAATTAACTCTATTTATAACTTATAT